CTTATTTTCAAATCTTGGCACCATTTTCCCAATGATATCCAGTGCCTCCATATTTAGGGAAATTTCCCTAGATCTAGGGACAAAAAGGTCAATTTAGGGACAAGGGAGGGAATTTCTAAAAATACTGGAATGTAGGCAAATTTCGACTTACTTGGCTCTATAATTAAGTTTTTGAGTCATTATTCATTAGTGACTTTAATCATTATTCATTATTCACGACATTAATTACACATACACAATTTGCACATGTATTGTATTATCAAAACATAAATCATTTTCAGCTGGATAATTTAAAATGGCAGAGTTTAATGGAAATGTAACAGAGATATCTTCTAAAACTGACTGTACATCTTGTGGTACATCTAGTCAGTCTTCTACTACCAAAAGGAGAAAGGTGTATAAACAGAGGTATAACAGAAAGGGGGAGAAAAATTGCAAGCTAAATGAAAGGAGATGGTTACAGCCTAGCAGTGCAGATCCATGTTAAACCTATTGTAAACTCTGTGAAAAGGAATTAGTTGCTGATCTGTCTGAGCAGCGAAAGCATCAAGATTCCAAGAAGCACAAGGAGAGAGAAAGTACAGTTACCATAACTAGACCTATTACAGCCATGATGGTTTGTGATGATATATCACAAAAGACAAAAAGTGCTGAAATTAAAATGTCAGCCTTTTTGGTGGAACAGCATTTAATATTTCAAGCCATGGATCACCTTTCTGACTTAGTCAATGATATCTTATCAGATTCAGAAATTGCAAAACGATTTCAAAGCAAGCATACCAAATCAAGAGACATTGTGAAGTGTGTTCTAGCAGGCCATTTTGAGAAGAACTTTACATGCTCTGGCAAAGACAATGTTCCTATCATTATTGATGAAACAACGGATATTAGCTCAAAAAAGCTGCTTGTTATTGTAATCTGTTACTTTTGTGACAAAGAAAACAGGGTAAGAAGCCAATTTCTCAGATTACTAGAAGTAACAGAAACAAATGCTACAACACTTGTTAATACTTTGACCACTTACTTTGAAAGTAAAAATATTCCTCTTTAAACTATAGTTGGCTACGCTTCGGACACGACAAACGTCATGTTTGGTCGACACCACTCTGTAGTTACTTTGTTTAGGGAAAAAATGCCACATATTTACACCATGAAATATCTATGCCACTCAGCCCATTTATATGCATCACATGCTTGTGAAATGCTCCCACAATCAATTGAAGATCTAATATGTGAAATTTATTCACATTTTTCACACAGTGCTAAGAGGCTTGCAGAATATGAAAAATTTCAATTTTTTACTACTACTGAGCCATAGAAAATTCTTAAACCTGCTCAAACCCGTTGGCTTTCTCTGGAATAATGTGTAGTTCGTCTAATGGAGTAATGGACAGCATTGGAATTGTACTTTAAAGATGCAGCTGAAAAGAGTCAGCTTGTACCAGCATGCACCATACATACCGCCTTGACAAATCCCATTGTCAAGCTATATTACAGTTTTCTAAAATTTGTGCTGCAAAAGTTTACTCACTTTAATCAGCTTTTTCAAAGCGAAATTCCTAATCTACACTTTTTATCAAGCTATATGGCATCTACATATAAAGCTTTTTTAA